TCTTATGGAACTTTGCCTCACAAGCAAAAAGATCATAACCTCTGATCCTTGTTAATAGGCACTCGTCCCTTTTCTTCTCAGCCATCTCCAGAACCGACGTCCAGCCATCAAATTCAAACTGGTTCATCCCCTGGCTAGTCCAGCTCTGATGTACTTTGACCTTCTTTCGTTTCTCTGAACCTCAGAAAATACAATCAGGGTTGAATATAATCTTGTCAATTGCACTTCTGCGACTCGAACGTTGTGGAGTTGTATCAGCACCCTGTGATGTAGTTTCAGTCTATCAAGGTTCATTGTAAAACGCTTATAACATTGCCAGTGGAAACCATGGTGTTCTGCAATCTGATCTAGAATGAGCTGACATGTATCTTTCATCATGTGGTTAGATCCAAAAGGTTGTGCAAGCCACATTTCTTTAATCTCACGCAGTTTGGCCAATTTATTTTGAGCATCTTTCATCCCAGAGAATAACTGCAGTTCGCCATACTTTAAGCCTGGCACATGAACTATACAGACAGTGGGAGGAAGTCGTACACATGGCCGTTTTCTTTTCGATGGTGGTTCCATTGTGTTACTTCAAATCATTGATTTTGTTGTTATTTCAGCCATAATGCACAATCTGCAAATTAATAGAAAAAAAATTGGTTAGAAAATGGTTAAAAGGATACCAAAATGTGCGTTCAATGAAAAGCGAGTAAATTTTCTATGATGGCATTAATTTATTTGATGGTCATCAAATCTGTTACAGCCAAAACATAGTATCTGGAAATGTACAGATTATCTATAAGAATCATGCACACATATATGTGAGAGGTTCTTCCTTTTCTTGACACTAATATCACAAAAAAGTGTTAATCTCTTAATATCAGTTGATTTTCTTACCTTACAAATAGCAAAAATAAATTCCTTGACCAAACAAACCTATAATGACATGTATTAAACATGATTATATTGCATTTGTCAAAAAATACTGAAATTAAGCGTTTTGCTCATTAAATATTCAATATGGCCACCGTTATGCAAATGTTGACATAAAATGTAACATTTTGACATAATATAATCAGCAGATGTTATCCTTCAATTTTACCAACAATTGCTATTCTTGCTATTTATTTAAACATCATAATAGTCGTGGTAATATGGTTTGCATTTTGTGTGGTGACAACAGCAGAAATATGACTTTTCAGAGGTACCATCTAAAATATGTGGAAAATGAACACCGAGTCCCAGTTTATTCACTGTTACCACTTGATTTCATATTGAGTAGACCACAATGGTTAAACAATTGGTATGGCAGAGTTGTGGGGGGGGGAATGCACGATAGCCTATCCTGGCCCATGGCCTATTTGTATTTGCACAATGTGAATGAGGGCTTTATTGTCAAAATATATACAGGTGCTTGTATGCCTACTGAAACTATACAAAATTTTACCAATGCACATCTGTTTCATGTGTTAAAAGAACATTGCGATGTTCTCATGGAATTGTTAAATCTTGGTATCATTCCCAACTGTCACCAAACTGTATGTTTTGAGGACTCGTATTGCACTTCTGGGACTAATTTTCTGGAAACTGTATAGCAAATCACATATTTTCCTTATTAATTGTTTATAGTTTCTAAATTTCAGTTTTTATTGTTCATAATTATTTACAGTAATAACATATTTTTCCGATTGTGTGCATGACAGCTTTGTCCACACACAATAAGACAGGATATGTACGGATATGTGTGAGTATGTTTCATGTATTAATAGGTCACTCCTTTGTTAATTCAATTCCAACTACATGTCTGGAAATATCACTTACTGTTTATCATCCATATTTTGATATCCCACAATGTGTTGATTGCGTATCTGGAAATTCTAACTACGTTTTTGCAAAATTTGACCAGCCTTGCCTTTACCAGTCATTTAAGTCAACTCCCATATTGTCCTTCACAGTGAAGGTTAATGCAGATATATTGTAAATTACACAGAGGTAACATTACAATACATTTCCCTTCACATTCCCATGTATTACATAACAATCTTTGAGCTGAGGCAGTTATGGTTCTACAACCATCACCAGTTCTCTTATAAATGTTGGTTGCATACACAGCGTATCCATTACCATGCGTGTAGATATTTCCTTTGTGTAACAAACATATCACCATAATATAATGTTATAATAACTGAATTAGGAAAATACACCATCGATCTAACCACAGCTAAAATATCGGTCTAAACTCGTTAAAGCGGCAATAGCTGTGATTTAGTTTAAAAATAACCACATAGAGATGACACAGACACAGTTGCATGGACACAAAGTGAGTCGACGCAAGGCTATATCACATACAGCGTGATGTGAAAACTAGCGGTCGAGTAGTCGCTAACATTGAAATCGTTGATTTCACTAGATGGCGCCCTCTGGAGACCACAGCTTGATACAAAACCTCTGGAGACCACAGCTTGATGCAAAGTGATATAATGTACATCCCCGGATGTACAACTTCCGTATATAGTGTATATGCTATGCTTTCAGTGTCCACTTTCAGCGATGGTCATTGAAAATTGATACTAATGACACAGGAAATGTCTTATTAGAAATAAAAAAGAAAAAGATCGATAGTTACAGCCATTGTCGCTTTAACATTGCCGCTTTAACCCTAAAACAAATATCCTCGCAAATAAGTATGCTACATAGTATAGAAGAGTCTTTGTCAACTATGTGACTCAACCTGTGAAATGAGGCGCATTACACAATGTAGTGCTTCAATGTAGAATTTAAATCAAACATTTCTTTGAAAAAAACACTACATATGTTTCGAAAAAATAAACCAAAATTGTTAAAGATAGTTTATTTATTGAGTGCTGTGGATACTCATCTTGTCACACACTTTGCTAAGTATATTGTGAAAATAGTAAGTGATAACTGTATTTAGTAGTGTCCGTAGGATTGTACTATTTCTAGTTACAAAAATAAATACATGTATCTATTATTTAAATGTAATTTTCAAAACATTCGGTTCTACTCTACTCTACTCTACCTCGTTCATCAAAACGTTTACCTTCAGGCTGAAAAGTTACTTATACCAAAATTGGCACAGGTACATAATACGTACTAGTAGATACACCTGGTACTTATCAACAATTCTAAATCAGTCTGATGTGTCAAAAATTATCCTACGTCTGTCAGAATCTTCGTCTATTGAAAATATCCTGCACGCATTGCTGTTCAGCACACTCCCTGCGTGTAGAGTCTGATAATGGTGTACTAGAATTAGATCAATGATTGTGCCAAGTTGCCAGAAATTGAATGCCATTTCTTGTTACTTTCCTCATTTTATGTCACATAAATACATATAATTTCTTTTATCCGCCGTCATTTATGAAATGTAACTAACCAGGCGTTATCCAAAAGGTGGCAGCCTGTATTTACAACATTCTTAAACTCAGAGATGAAATTGTAGAAATATTAATCGTTTGTACTTTTATGAACCGATGGCCTCCAACTTGTAAATAAATAAGATAAACAATAATACCAAAGATGATGACGATTGTATTCGAGTGATTTCAGGGAGAATCTTTGTTTTCATCCGAGTAATTGTGAATTAAAAAAAAAAAACGATTTTTTATGCCATCCAGATCGCAAGCCGTCAAAAAAATATTGCAATATTTTTGTAATTAGAATATATTATATATAGGCTTGTAATATTGTGTTTCGAGTTGTTTTATTGGTCGGGGGACATTGTCGCGTTGTTTCATTGGTTGAGAAGAATTGTATAACAAAAGAATTAATTCCATTCACATCAATCTACGTTGTCAGTGGTTTTTACTACAACCATACTTTCCCATTGATTAATATTGCAGGAATAAAAAACAAGATATGGAAATGTTGTCGATACATTGTATCACGTAATAACTAACCAGGAATTGTGAAATCTGTTATTAATTTAAATCAAATTTAATTAAATATACGCCCAATCACAGCAGTAGTCTGTCACGTATTTATCGTAAAAGTGAAGCACAGACGCGACGTTCAGTATAGGTGACCTTGGCCTAGATAGACTGTCTGCTCCAGGTCGCCATACATTTAAAACGACAGAGGCAGTGGACTGGCCCAGACACCTGCAAACGCCACATAATGTTAAACATTATGGTGCTTTGGATAAAATCACCCATATACCATGATGTGTACCATAATATACCATGAAAAAATCCTAAGAATGTACTAGTATCAAAAACACGGCGGTCATGGTAATATTTAGTACTACCCACGTAAGATATGTAATTCATGGGAACACTTAAATAATCAATACAATATATCAATTATCGGCAAGATACAACAAACATATACTATTACCAACAGCCACTTATATTAAGTCAGCGTCTACTAGTCTACTAAACGTAAACAAATATAAACGAATTAATTTTCTTTAATTTTTTATCTTTTTTTTTTGTTTCGATTGTAAATGAAATTATTTATTTATTCACTATTCCATTTATTTTTTTATTATAATTAATTACCATTATTTGTTTGTTTTTGTTGTTTCATTCATTGTCTCTATTTACTAGAAGAACGCTATAAAACCAATGAAATATTCTTTACAACTAATTACAACTAAAGAGATAAACAATCGTTATCTTTCAAAATATAACAGCATAAAACGAGGTGTACACAGAATGGTGAAATACATCGATGATAAGCAAGTGAATTATTGAATGAATGAATGAATGAATAAAACTGATAGCTAAAAAGAAAAACGCAAAGCCTACTGGGATACACAAATGACACAAGTGACCTTGCCAATGTCATGACACATAAACGCTACTGGCTGCATGCCTAACAATCGATCATGTCAAAATAAGTCTCAAATGCACAACACTGTCAACTATTTTATGAAAGTCATTCGCAGACAGTGGTGGACAATAAGCTGGGGTATATCTACCTTTGTATCATAAAGGCCCAGTCGTCGGTAGGCAGCAGCAGACGAAAAAGTGCCACCGAAAATAATCGACGGCATGGCGTCCGCTCCACAGTGCGAGAATGTTACTCAAACGCAAAGGAACAACGAGATGGGAGACACAAACATATCCAAGTCCTCAGGTAAGTTATAATAAATTGTAATTTTAACGATAGCAACGATTAATATTTCGGTATATGCCTATTACAACGTTACTGTTGTTCGACCTACATACAGGTACACGGTTGGTCTACTTTTGAGTATATCTCGAACCCAGCCTCTGTGTGTATGAATGCCTACGTATTCACGATGATATAGTATTTGGTGGTATTATTAAATTTACTATGGGCAATAATGACAATTCGTGACAAAAAACAGTATGTTCTTGTTTTTACCAAAAAATGGGCATACGTACAACCAAAGCGAACACATACAAACGCATGTACGCACACACGCAAATAGGGTCATGGCCTAAACACGCTGTTGTTCCCATTGTTTACGTGTAACCAGACTGGAGTATATCACACGAATAATGTCACCAGGGTCGTTTGTATAGTCACACAAACTGTGACACAATATATTATAAAACGGGTCCTGACACCCAACGGCAATACGATCTAACCGTACGGGAACGAAAAATACAGACGCTCACGTCAGTTTGTCATTGAACAGAGGTCACACAGCGAATTCTGTTGAAAATAAATAAATAAATGAAATGGAAAAAAAAACAGTCAGCGCGTTCACGGAAAATCTGAGACCTTCTTCCGCGTACCACATATCAAAACAATATGCCGACGTGCCCCCGGCGCGTCCCCGGCCACAAAAGTGTGTCGATTTCGTTGAACTGTAGATGACTTGACCTGCATATAAGTGGAGACAGTCTGACTTCAAAGTGAACTCCAAGCTGTCTAGTATATCATTGTTGAATGTCTCAAATACGCGGCCATGGTGTCATAGTTAACATATTCTTTACTTTGTTTTACTTCATCAATTTTGAGTTATTTGTTATTACCAAATTTGTATAAGACACATAACATATAGTGAAAATACAGACGAAAAACAATATAACGAAAGAATGACTCTGTAACGGCGGTGGCCATAAACGTAAACTCCTGGTGATTATGGGTTTTATTATTTAGGTCATCTTGTAAGGTTTATTTTGCATTAAGTGAACTACCATTCACAATGTCATTATAATTAGTATTTTATGTCCCTATTTATATGTTGCAAATATATATTTAGCTGAATTGGTTTGTTTAGTACGTGACACAAAATTAGCTTATAGATAATTTTATACATATATTTATTTACTACTCGTATGAACAACGAACTTTTGATCATTACAAGAAAGAAATGCACCACTAAAATGAATATAGTATCAATTCATGGTGCATAAAATATAATGCCACATAGAAAGTTACGAAAGTAAATAAAATATCAAAATACTTGTTGGTTGAAATTGTATTTTAAAATGTCAGTTGTCTTTTTAAAAAGCCGCAGAGTGACAATGCTGAAAAAGACGTTTATACTTAGAACAATAAGGAATGTATAAACGAATATCATTTAAAACGACCGCGAAATTATGACAATAAATTATGGATTTAAATAAAAGTTATCATCTAAAATATTTCCACGTGCTACAAGGGAGAGAAGTTGAAATAACCTACAAAGATAATGATTAACGAGTCTGGAGGAGGCAACATTTAAAGCGGGAGGGTCGTCACCTGCGCACGCGCGGGAATTGAGTTCCAAGCGACGATAACAACACGCGCTAAAACACTCATGGCTCATGGGTAGAAGCTTGTTTGTAAACAATGACACGCTATGACTATCTGGCGTATGCGCAGGTGACGACTCCTCCGCTTTAACAAAAATCTGGAGATAAATTTTCGACGTTACTGTCGTCTATTACTGTCGTCTATCACTGTCGCCTCTCACTGTCGGGCTAAGAATTATCCGTTCTATTTATATAGCTATATAGCTGGCCTTATGAAATTATGTTCGCAAAACTACCACTCGAAAATGACTTTAGAGACATTAGGAATCATATCGGCAATAGCCTGATTGTTGGAGACTTTAAGACCGTCGTCGGCGAGTTTACTGTGCGAACGTTGTGTGCTCGGTGATCTCCGAACTCGGCCCAATAACAGAAAAAAACTCCCGAGTCTAATCTAGTGACGCATGTTGTAAACCCAATCGTTATATGTTTTAATCCCGTACGGAGTTTGGGTCAGTGTGTATTAAACTATCCGTTAGAAATGGTTACGATTTGGAAACGCAAGATGCTCATCAATGCCACGTCTGTTTTGGTTAGAATAAATTGTGTTGCTAGAAAGTCTAGTATGCTTATTATGTTAATTGTATGAATTCCTTGTTCAACCGTGTGAGAATAATATGTAGCGGTAAATACCACATGATCAGAGCATTCATATAGGCACTTGTTCAAACAAATTAGTTATTTGGGATACTTTATTGTCTCTAAAGAATAGCTTACATTGTTTTTCCTCATTGTATTCAGAAAACAGACGAAAACAAAATGTGGAAATGAATAAGCGCATCTGCCAATTATGAAAATGAGTACAATTTTGTTTTTGCATTCTTGATATTATTAAAAAAATACTTACCATTTAACCCATCACAGATAAAGAAATTTATAAAATTAGTTGGGTCATTGAACGACTGTTAGCACTTTTGTACCATTCTCCAAAGATAAGAAATATTGTAAATATTGATTTCTATCTATTAATTGTTTGGTATTGTTCGGCTGCGTATTTTGGGACGCTGGCTGGCCAGGTAGTACACATAAAGACCAATGAAACAGGTTATGATAAAACGAGAAAAAATCACCGATTGGACAAGTTTTTCACTTGTCCCCCTTTTTACAAAACCTTGATTTACTTTGGGGGCTGAGACGTGATCATGGTGTCAGTTTGCTTGCATTATTTATACACAAAAGTATGCCTCTCACCTCAGATTGACCTCAGTCAGTCAATCAGGTTTCAACGCAGAACGTGCCGTTTGACTCGCCTGATATGATCTCGGTATTCGGATAGACAGGTATTCAAACTAAAGAAAATATCTTATGTTACAAAGAAATCACTACAATTAAATGTGCCTTTCGTAGTGTTATACTAGTACTAGTATTGAATGATAACATGTGTATAATAATGCAGGCAATATGTTCTTTATTTGTTATAAACATTTGTAGCTCATTGTGACGTATGTGAGTGTGGAAATTGATGCAATAGAGATGGAAATATCCATAAAAACAAACACTTTATTGAAGACATGTCCTGCGTTTAACAGTGATGTGTCTTTATTCTGTTTCAGATCACAACGATGAATCTGATTTACGCCAGTGCTGGGTGTGCGGTGAGAAATCATCTACCTACCATTACGGTGTAGTGTCATGTGACGGGTGCAAGGTACGCAGTCTCATTTCTATTAAACATAAATATGTCGACATGATATAATAATATGACATAATAGAGACTTAAATATGACAGATTTGAGACTTGAATATGACATATTGAACAGGGGTGGGGGTAAAACATTTTTAATATTATAATTGATCTATAGAGGGTGCCACTACATCCCAGATTGGCCAAGGTAAATTTGTAACGGGTGAAATAATACTGGACCGTATTGTACATGTACATTTTTTAGTCCCCGTTCGGACGAAGTCCGAAAACGGGGACTTATAATTCGGTCTCCGTGCGTCCGTGCTTCCGTGTGTCCGTGCGTCCGTGTGTCCGTCCGGAGTCATATCTCAGAATCCCTTGGACCGATTCCGTTCATTCTTTGCATGTGCCTAGTACTTTATGTGGGACATATGCACATGCAGTGGTTTAGCGATTCGATTCAAAATGGCCGACT